GGCTCATGTTATGACACCTTTCAATTCAGGTGGGATTTTAGGCCCCTTGAGCCAGTAAGGTATCCCCATCTTTGATGGCGGGTCATTGAAGACCTGTTTAGGAGCATTCCAGATAATACTAAATTTTCTTCTAACATATTGAGTTCTGCAGTGCTGGTTTTGTCTTTTCTGTCATCCAGGCAACATATCTTTCAATTCATTAGGCTCGTTGCTCCTCCCCTTTCTTTTGCTTTTTTGTTTTTTCCAAAAGATGGGTTTATTTTGTTTTATGTTTTTTTCCCCCAAGTCACAGAGTTTAGCGCTACAGTGGTTGAAATGGGAGCTTCGTTTCCATGTCAGTGCCTTTTTGAAAGGTGACTTTAACAAGCTCCTTAATTAAAGTTAAGAGCCAAACTCTGTGGTGACGAGCATGTATGATGGATTTTCCCTAGAATGTCAAAGAGAAGCGATTTTCAAAGACATGACCTTGTCATTGCCATGCAGACATGAAGCCCTGCTCTCCTTTGAGACCAATTGTGGCCAATGGGTGCAGAAGGTTTGGTCAGCCACGCACGTGCTATTAAAGGATCTCGTCAGTTTTTCTTCACAACCACTTTCCCTTCCATTTTTTTGTATGGTTCTCCACCTCGTGCTGTTCACTGTGCTTGTCTTGCACAGTAATAGGTGGCTGTGTCTGCAACGGTCACAGAATTCAGCTGAAGAGAGAGCTGCTTCTTGGAAGAATCAAGTGAGAAATTTAAGCGGCTTTTTAGAGATGGAGTATAGAAATTTGGCATTCCAGCATCCTGGAAAACTTTGTGGTTATATATCCCATCCATTCCAGGCCTTTGCCCGGAGACTGTTGTATCCAGCTCCAAAGATAATTATCAAAATTTTGACTATCAGGAAGTGTGATGGTGCGCATCAGTTTGAGGGTCTGCCAGGGCTTCACTATTACCACCCCAGGTTGTGTCAGCTGTACTTCCGAGACAACACCTGTATAGAGAAGTCAAGAAATAGGAGAGAGATATATCAGATTCCTGCAGTTAAATGAGGCCTTCCTCCCACCCCACCCCCACACCCCAAAAAAACTGTCATTAAGTCCTTCCTTACTATCTAGACATTTTGAGAAAACCATTGGCAATATAAAAGGAAAGAGCCTTAGAGGTCTGGGCCAGCAGGTGGCTCACAGATTAACCTCTTCGAATATGCTTTCTTTTTTTTTTTTCCAATTGGAGTTGATGTCCATAAACAAATGTTAAATTCTCTTGTAAGGAGCTGAGCTTTGTATTTTCAGAAGGAAATCTTAAAAATCTTCTCCAATGGGCAACCAACAACCAAACGTTACAACTGGGCACGTGCCTGGGAGCGCCTGTGGTTTTTGTAGAGCTGTTCCACTGCACTCACTCACTGTGTCTCCTTTTCGCTCTCTTGTGCAGTAATAAACGGCAGAATCATCAGTGACTAAGGCCCGCAACTGGAAGTAGAACTCATTGTTCCAGTTGCTCCTGGCAATAGTAATTCGACCGCTGAATGCTGTGTTGTAGTAAGGTTCTCCTCCTTGTGCGATGCTTTTGATGCCCCCCAACCATTCCAGCTTTTTGCCTGGAGATAGACGATTCCATCCCCAGAACCACCCGCCGACCTCAGGCCCAGAGACGACACAGGTCAGTTTGAAGGACCCTCCGGGCTTTACAATGAGTGAGCTAGGCTGGGCCAGTTGCACAGCAGCGGAGATGTCTGGAAAAGAAAGGTGGCGGAAGTTAGAACCACACCTGTTGCGTGTGCGTGTCTTTGTGTTGGGTCTGTCGGTCCAGATTCTAATATAAGGTACTGTAACTGAAGGATGTTTGTGGAAATAAAGTCTCTCATCTCCGTTCTCTTGTGCTCTGATAATCTCATAGGAATATAGAGGGTTTTTCTGAAGTTTGTGAGTGGAAGCCCCTAGTGAATTCTAATCCAAGGATACTGAGGCACTGCACAGCAACAATGGATTAGCACAACACCTCAAAACAAACAAACAAACAAACAAACAAACCCTGCACAAATTGGACCGCCAATTGATATGGGAAATACCACTGTTCCCCATTCCCTCCCAAATCCTCTCACAGAGTGTT